AACAAGGCCTTAGTGACTGGTATGGAGACAAGTACTATGGATGTTATAGGCAGAGAACACTGAGGTTTTCAAACCTGACAACGTGAATTTACCTGGATGTTCCCACTCAAACTGATGGAAGTTGTGGGGATAAATCCACCTATGCAGCTTGGAAAATACCAGCTATACGTTTCCTCAAAATTATCTGAGCGGTGACCTTGAGGTTTCCGATCTAAACTCACCCTACAAAAGGAAACATTAACTTCTCACAAAAGAAATTTATTTCAAAAATTGGAACAATAAATTTTAAACTCTTAAAAGAAAGAGCCAAACCTTTACCCCAAAAACTCAAACCAAATTTGTGGTGGTGGTGATTTGTTGTTGGTGGGATGTTTGATTCGGTTGGTAGGTTTAAGATCTGCAAAGATTTGCTTAACCTTTTTTACATCATTTTTGTGTGCCTCTGGACTTTCTGGTTCTTGCTGAAAGCAACCAAGATACTTCAAGAGAGGCTTTTTTTCTATTGTATTTCTGTCCAATACAGAGGGAGAAATGTCCAGATCTGACAAGGATTTAAAAAAAAAAATCAGAATGTTTGGTTGCTTATCCAGCCCAAGCTCTTACACCAGGTGTGACTGGGTGCCTGTGATAGACCACACTGATAATGCCGCACTCCGGGCAGACAATCCCCAAATCTGGTGGTTTACTTTATAATTAGATTCACCAAATCAGTAACAAAAGAGCATCTGCAGTACCACACTGGTTAACCAGAAGCCAAACACATTCCCCTTTAGGCATTCCAGCCCTTGGCTCCCATCCAGGCAACCCAATCTAATATAGTGAGAGGTTATTGAAAACCCATTTCACCATAAGCGAGATTCTTTCTGTCAATATGAATCTCAGACTTTACCCAAATATCACAATGTCAGACAATCCTTAGTAAACTAACTAAAGATTAAATAATAAAAGAAAAGAAGAGAGTTATAAAAGGTTAATAGATCACATACATACAAATGATTTAATGTCGCAGTGGTGAAATAGACTGCTGGCTTTTAAAGTCTCTCTGGCAAGTTCCAAAAGATTGGAAGGTGCTCAGTCCATAGTTCAAGGTACTCCTTTTAGTTGTAAATCCACAATGCAGAGAATTAGAGCAGGAAAGAGGCAATGTGGAGGTGTCTCGGGCGTCTTTTTATACCCTCTGTCATGTGCATGGAAATTTACTGTTCCAAACAAAACCCACAGCCCCTGTCTGTGGAAAGTTTCTGGCCAAGATGGAGTCCAGGATCACATGAGCATATCACATACCCCTACATGTTTTGCTGAATCACAGGGGATGGCCATTGGCTCCTCGCTGTCTGAGGCATCTGCAGAAAGACCTACTGGGCAGCATGAGTTTCTTCAATGACCCATTCTGAGAGTGGAGTGTCCTTGATGGGCCATCAACACATCGCTGTCTAGCCCTGATGTAAATTCTGCTGAGGGGTGTCACCCAGGAATACAACACACGTTTAAGACACAAGTCCATAGCCAATATTCATAACTTCACATACAAAGATGATACATGCATATAAACAGAATAATCATACTTCGTAAATCCGAACTTTTCCATTGACACCTTACATGACATACGTTTATACAAGATTTGTTGCAATTGTATAACAGTGGTAGAAACAATGATACAAATGATCATCTTTCTTATACACAGCATCACACCAAGCTCATTGTTAAACATATGGATGGGAAAATAACCAGTAATTTCTCTGAGGAGGCTTCTTGCCTATAATGTGTAAATTACTTAAAGAGAACAAATGGTACATTTCAAAAAAAGTTTGCACATGATACAGCAAGACATAAGTAAGAACGTAGCCATATCTCCAAGAAGTCAATCACTATGACCTTTATATGGAAAATCCCAGTTGATGCAAACAAATGTCTCCCCACAAGGCATTATAACTAGAGCTAGTAGGGAAATGGTTCTCCTGTCCCACAAAAATTTTTAAGATTTCAAAAAATTTTCTGTTGCACTTTGGAACAAAACAGACCTTCTGAAGTTTCCCCCCCACACAGAGAGGGGCCCCAGAATAGCCTTGTATTAGGAAACTCACCTGCAATGTGTAAGACCCAGGTTTGAATCCCCACTGTAGTTGATTTGGATCAAGGTCTTGAACACAGGCCTCCCAAGTCCCAGCTGTTCTGGTATCTGTCTGTCTGTCTCCCTCCCTCTGGGACTACATATTCCATCTTGTACCTCAGAAACCTCTCTTGAAAACGTTGTTGAACCTGCTACATTCCTGCACAAAGTTTTGGTTTCAACAAACTGTCATTTTCCAACAAAAAACATTCTATCAAAAAATTCCTGGCCAGCTCTAATTAAAACCAAATCATTTATTAAACCAAACAGTTTAATATAAGTGATATTTCTAATCTTTCATGAAGGAGGTAAAATATGCTGTATTTTCTCTCTCAAGTCACTATCATATAATGGTCTTTTTCAAGTAGAGCTGTCATTGTGGTTTCCTGGATTTCCTCAGCCTCTTTGGAATGCTTGTAAATTCCCATGGCTGATAGTAAGCTAAGAAAGGAAATAAAAAATAGTAAATACCACTTCAGTGGTGTAAGCCCTTTTCTTCTCTTTTTTTTGGCTGGCGATGCACATTAGGAGATTATTATCAGCTTTTGCACTAACTTCAAAACTGTTCCAGCTGGGAAACCATCCGTGTCCATTTTGCACCCTCAATTATGCTCTTACGCCAACTCAATCTTCACTGAAATAGATGCATTTTGTTAGACTAATGGTTGGAGATATTAAATGGATCTGAACGGAGAGTTTATTTTACAGAAGTACTTGAAGAAGTCAGTCTAGTAAATGGATGCAGTAATGGGGGAGGGTGGAGGAAATCACTCTTTAGTGTCTTATTACCTGCTATAACTATACAGTGGAATGCCTGAAAGAGAATAGAAGGTAAATCCATTGTACTATTTCTATGTGCAGTAACTGGATATTTAGTATCTGCTATTTATTTTTATTCATGGATATTTTATAAAATTTATTAATTGAAAAATACTTCAAAAAGGAAAACAAGATACATATTAAAAAGACTATAAATACTTCAGAATAGAATGATTAGACATCAGAATATCAGACCCTTATCCTGACCACAGTTACATTGGGTTTTTCATTCACACAATATACTGAAGACAGTCGAGTTGCTCCTGATTTATACTGCTGTAAATTAGATCAGAACAGAGCCTATGTGTTTGGATATTCTTGTCCTGGAGAGAAAAGAATACATGACCATCCTGATTATTATAAGCCCAGATCTCCTCCCGTTATACACACACTGAGTTGTACATTATTCCACAAATGGTCCCATTACTTATGAAGTAAAGTACTACTTAATATGAACAAGAATGGCAGAATCAGACCCTTCTTGTATAGGGCAAACGGATGATCCCAGGTTTTATCATGCTTCCAAGAGAATATTTGTTATGAAGAAATTCTGAATAATCTACTGCCTCCGAAGAAATGATGACTTTGAAATGACCCAGTAACAGGACTCAAAGATTACAAAGGGATTTGATAAAGTGTACGCATTTAAACTGCTCACAGCAGTTTAATGAGGGGTTCAAAAGTCAGGAGTCACATTAAAAAATAACTAAAAAAATAAGTGTATACAGAACAAAACTATTTCACTCAAGGTCAGAGTAATAAACGTACGGAATTAATTGCCAAATAAGACCATGGAAACAAGTACTGTAGTATAAGTGGGTTGTAGAGACATCTTGGCACTTTTATGGAGAGAGAAGGGATTAAAGGATATCATGACAAAGCAGAGAACTGGGGCTAAGATAAACTTAAAGGGGGACAGGATTTTTAGGTCAAGTGGCTTCTTCCTTTCCAGCCATTCCTTTTATGTCCTTATTCCCTTATTCCCATGTCAGCTTGAATAAACAATTATTAGAGCTTAGACGAACAATGGACCTCTTCCATACTGTAACGGGACTGAAGGGGCGCTATCTTTTCCTTCGCTCCACTATGAAAGTAACAGCTAACAAACAGGAATAGCCTTATTTCTCTTTATAGAATACTGTACATTTGACCTGCTCCAATTGATTTCAGGTATACGAGTATCTCATATCACCTCTTTCCTGTAACCTTATCCTCTTCAGTCCCATTTACTGCCATCACTCAGCTATCAGGGTGGCACAAATAAACAATGAAAGACAGAGCACAATGTTACAAACCACAACAGCTGTCCTAAATTACACTTCATCAGTGACATCAGTGTTAAAGATGACTTTATATATATACACACACACATACATATATACACATACCCCAGCATTCTCCTGGTGTTATCATGGATTTATCACATATCACACTGAAAAGAATGTGGAGTTATCAAATTTTCCTTCAAGTTGAAAAAGACTTCACTTCAGACAATCGTGCCCTGTTCTGTTATTACAAACTGTTTTCTGTCAAATAGGTTGCACAAGATGTCAATGGGTTTAAATTAGCAACTACAGCTCGGTATCAAATAGATGTTTAAAGCAAGTAAATATTAAAGCAAGTTTGTAACAGAAATTCATGATATTTGCTAAGGAAAGTGTCTTCTGGAAGGTTTCAGAGGGGTAGCTGTGTTAGTCTGTATCAGTAAAAATAACAAGGAGTCCTTGTGGCATCTTAGAGATTAACTTTCTGATGAAGTGTTATAGCCCATGAAAGCTTATGCCCAAATACATTTTTTAGACTCTAAGGTGCCACAAGGACTCCTTGTTGTCTTCTGGAACACATTCACTCTTCAATATTTTTATACACTTTCCTTTGGTCCTGTGCATGAATTGGCATGGATTGGAAGAGTCTATACAGGTACCTTCTCAACTGGCATTGTACTGCCCTATCCTCAGAATATGCTAGAAATCCAAATTTTCCATTACAGTGGCTCGCTGCATTGTTGAATTATGTACACTATTGTTGCCGTGGTGTTCTAATCTCTTGGTCTGACACAATCAAAAAGATCTGGAAGTGCTAAGAAGGGAATGTGTCTCAGAAAGAGGCTTATCAAGACCCACAAAAGGATATATTTAGGTTCCCCCAAAAGTCACATTACTATATTAGATATTAGTACATTGACAGAAGTATCTTGACCCTGACTTTTCTCACAAAGATTGAACAGAACCAAACCTTTTTGAAGACTCAGATCAACCTGGCATATCTTCACCTCACCCAATCTGTTCCCAATGGCCCTTCTTACATTTGCTTATATCCTGCAAAGTCTACTTCTGTGTCTTAACAGACCTGACATTCTCTTTTGGGCTGACTGCTGTCTCAAATCTTGCATACTCATAGCCTTCCTCCAGGGTCAGAGGCATGAAATACATTTTGCATCTATCTAATATTAGGGAAGTTCAAGAGCAAGCAAGTTATGAAGTTGGTAGCCAAGATGGAAGATGTGCCAAGTCTCTTCAAACAATGCAGAAGAACAGAGGCAGCTGGTCCATATCAGGCCCTTTTCCAAAGTGGGAAACCAGCAGGGTTTGTAATCAGGTCAGGAAGTCTGGCTGGGGAAAAGGAAAGGAAAACTCCAGGAATTCTCTGGATTTTCAGGGATTATACGGACCATATCGCTGAACCTTTTGAGCATCATCACCTGTTACTATAACTTGTTCTTATCTTAAAAACAAAAAAGATTAGAGAAACAAGTCTCTAGTGCTTCTACTTGCAGAAACCAGAGCTGAATAAGTTCAGCTTTAGGATGTGTCACTAATGAACATTTAGTGGACACTCTTTTGAGAGTTGATTCTGGAACGTAAGAATTTCCCAAACCCCTTCAGTTTTCAGTTACCACTTACAACTGATACCATAATCTTGGTATATTACCTACTCCATAAACCCCCCCCCCACATATATTCAATTCTTTTCCATCTCTTGTCTTCTTAAAAACACAGTGGGTGGCTCCACTGTTACATCATGTCTGAAATTGTCCCCGATTTCAACCAAATTACACTTGCTTCCACCAGATCTGAATTTGACCCCCCGATTTCTTATGGTGTCTCACACACACACACACCACATTGATACAGTATACCAAACCTCTCTAAAACTTCTGAATGTAGCATGCATTATACATGTCTTATCAAGAAAGTTTATTATATTTTTCAAATAAGAAGATATATAAAATAACACCACTACCCCCCAAAAAACCTAACAGAATACAGTGGGGATGATGAAAAGCCAATTATCTCAAGACATAGGCTATACACCAAGAGTACTGTGGTCCTGATTCAGCAAACACACAAATGTAACTTTGTCTTCAGCAGGACTACTCATGTCAGCACTTACGCACGTGTGTTTTTTCAAGATCAGTGCCTATGCCAGTAACTTAGTTATTCTTTAAAGTATAATTTCCTCTGACTCTTTCCACACAGTATCTCTATGTTCAGATAATTTGTATAATCAAAAGAGCTGAAGCCCAATAGTCAATAATGAGAGTCATTTGGATTTAGAATTCTAACTGGTTGCGTTATTTGTACGTCAATGAAATTACACACAAAGGCTAATCAGTTTTCTTATGCTTCCCTTTGCAGCAGGCAAATGAGATGTTGCTACTGGCAATCTTGTTGAAAGGTAAAAAAATGGTAGGACAGTAATATTGATGGATCTGAGTTGATGCCATTGATATAAGAGTAAAAACAATTACTGGAGGTTTCCTGACAACTTGCCATGACAGGGAAATCTCAGAAATATTTCCAGCTTCCTGGTTCAACGGTTCTTTTCAGTTAAATGGAAAAAAAAAATCTTAGAAGGCTTTTCATGTGACCAGAAATAAGGATTCTATAAAGACCAAGTGTTAATTAAGTCAGGCAGGTGAGGGAACCCACCAGGGACAAATCCAGAAATTCCATTCTGACAAGGTACATCTCTAAATATTTGAAGGTAATTTGAGTTTAGTTGTGACAACAAAGGAGAGGGACCAGGAAGGCTATGGGCTCATTTCTCAGTTAGCCCATAAACTCATTATGTGACTTTGGGCAAGTCATGTGACCCTGTAGCACCCCACCAGCCCAGCTGTAAATTGTGGGGTAAAACAGGACCTCACTGATAAATAGTTGCACTTTCTTATTTATATTTTTTCCCTGAAGATTTCAGACCACTCTTCTCTTGGCTCCTGATTATATAAGAACATATTTCAAAAGTAGTAATGATTCTGCAGTGGCTAGTTAAATGCTACTTTGGGGTTGTTACTTTTTTTGTTTGTTTGTTTCTTTGGGGTGGGTTTTTTTTTATATCTACAAAGTTAGTCCTTCATCAAGGGCTGCTGATGGATGCTGCCCCTGTTATAACTCCTGTCATTCCTGCTGCATGAGAGAGCAGGCAGAAAAAACCCAAGTGAATGAGAAGAGAGATTATGGGTACTGTACAGTAGTGATGGGCGACTAGGCTGATATATGGAAGGTTTTCATATTCGGGGTCTAAATGAACAGATGTTAATTGCCCCCCCCCCCCCAAATGAATATCATCCAGACAGAATTTCCCCCAATCCAGAAATCCCACTCAATATCTCTTTCATC